GTTATGTAAATCCAGGTTTTTCATCTGCCCGTGGCACAAGTCTGTGGCTTTGATTTCTTATAGGTGTATTGCTCCTATCTACAGCCCCGAGTGAATGGCAGGCTTCCTTGTTCCTCCCTTGGGTTGATGGGTCTGGTTTGATCCACATGCAGCTCTGCTTACTGCTGTGTGCTGTGAGTGTCCTCCTCTTTTTCTGGAACATGAGCATTTATTTTGCTGCTTCTGAACTCCATTATCTATTTTTAAGGAAATTCCCTTTTGAGTGTATGTTTCTGAAGGTGGAGGGAGCCCTTCTGCATCTTCAGCTTGCCATATTGCTGTACCTTAATTAGAAATAGAGACTATGGACAGAACTCTGGGGTCCATTGACATAAGGGACAGATGTAGGAAGAGAAATCCCTGAAAGAGATGGCCGAGCATGCCTAGAACAAGGAGAGAGTTTGTGTAGAAAGGCTCTTCCTTTCATGATATGAGGCCAGCTCTTCCCAGGAATGGCACACTGTTCATCCTTCATACTTGAGTGACTTTTCTGAAAGCAAAAAATCTGAGAAACACAAAAGCAGGGAGAAGGGTTGGATTTATAAAGGGAGCCCAAGGCACTGGTTTCTCTCCAAGGAGAGCTGCTTAGGGGTAATTTGGAAACTTCTGGGTGCTCTTGTGTAATTCAGAGGTTCTTCCCGGCATTTGTACTCATGGGGAGGAGTGGCATTATTTTGTATGCAGGAGTTGGCTTCCTGATTGTGCTTTTCTCTCTCTCTGTTGTCTGTCTTCTTACTTCTGAATATTTGGGAGCCACCTGTGACATATATAGTAGATAAAAGCAGATCCACATACTTTGAGCCTCCACTCCTACTAGAATATTCTTAGGCATTACCTCTTTGAATAATTCCTTCCCCACATTCCAGCCAGCAAATCCACACACTTCAATGTTCCTTTTCCACTCTAATTGTACTTTTTTTAATGGTACAGGGGCTTGAACTCAGGGTCTCACGCTTGCTAGGCAGGTGCTCTACCGTTTGAGCTACTCCACCAGTCCATTTTAGGCTCTATTTGGAAAGCCTCTATTTGGAGGAATCATGTTCCAGTATTGTGAATTGCTGTACCCATGGAGAGGATCTTACAGCTTGGAGTATAGCTGTGGACTGGGCAGAGCAAAGGAGTGTGCCCATGTGTCTGCAAGCCTGCAACGAGAAGGCTAGGGTTTTACAATGCTTCCTTCATTTTCAAGCAATAACCATGTCACGTCACCCCACCTCAATCTGAAAGTGAGCAGTGCTGATCTTAGCATTCCACCTTATGGGTGAGGATTCAGGCATAGAGAGGTAAGGAGACTTCCTCAAAGCCCATGGCAAGTAAGGGCTTATTGTCCAGGCATCTGAGCCTGGTGTTTTCACCTCCACTTTGTGCTGCCTCCATGTTGTACAGGCATAGAGGGAGTCATCCGTCTCTACACCCAGGTTCCTGCTGACCTGACCATATTCAACTGACCACAGATGTTCTGTGAGGCCACTTGCCCTTCATCTCCACTCCATGGTGGTTTGTCATACACTAGGAGAGACTTAGTTCCCTCCTCCCTTTACTTTCCTGGCCATATTATCTTTTATTTTGATTTCCTTTTGAGACAAGCTCTTGCTATGTCCCTCAGGTTGGTTTCAAACTGGGCTCAAGCAGTAATCCTGCCTCATCTTCCTGAGGAGCTGGAAATGCAGGCGCACGCCACCCTGCTGCGTTTCCTTGTGTCTTTTAGACATCCACCACTGCTGCTGGAGGAGCCCAGACACAGGCCAAAGGATTGCTGACCCTCTCACAGAATTTACAGCATTGTATTTTACAGCACTGTTGGGAGGAACAATGGCAGCCTCATCTTTCTTGGAATTACATTTTATTGAATTCAGACTCACAATCTTTAAATAACTTGAATAGAATAGTCTCAATATACAGTTCTTTAATCATACATATATTTCTTTAAAGCACAAAACTATAAATTAAAATGGAAAGGCTATAAATACACATATACATATTGCCATAAATCTAGAACTATTTTATAAAAATAAAACTCAAATATTAACTTTATATATTTTGGCAATTTAGCAGAGTTGTAAGTAGCCACATTAACTATGCATCACTGTTCTAAATGTCTGTCTCATTGTCCATCTCTTTGGGGACACATGGTCTCCTTTCCCAGGGTCCCCACAAAGGAGCCCATGGCCATGGCTCAGTGTTGCCTGTGCATAAGGACGGAGCACACCTTCTTGTTCATGGAGGGGAAGACCAGCTTCCAGCCCCTTCTTCAGAGAGAGGAGGTGTTCCCTCCAGCCGGGTGTCTACCACTCATAAGTCTCAAAGCCCTCACTGTGCATGACTTGATATCTGAGTTAATGATGTGAGTTCCCTTTCCCTGTGCTCAGATAACAGCAGGTATGAGCTTTGTTCTCTCAGATCAGTGTTAATAGTTGAAAAAAAAATCTCTGAAATAATGCTGAGGAATGCCATCCCAAAGGTGGACGCTGCTGCCTACCTGCTGTGCAAGGTCTTGATGCACATGATCTCCAACCCTGGCAAGACAGGGACATTCTTGTTCTCATTTGACAATGGAGAGAGTTGAGTCTCTGGACAGCTAAGTCACTTGGCCAAACTCAGTGGGGCTGCCTGACCCCAAAGCCAGAGTTCTGTGCCTGCTCAGAAATCCATGGAGGGAAACCAGTAGAGAACTCAAATCTACCTGGGGTCATAGAGTGAGATCACACAAGTGGCTTTGGATCAACTTACAGCAGGTGAATTGCTGGTCCCCAGGAACCCCTGGGGCCTTTGGGCTGCAATTTGCCAAGGGGAGCTAAAGGTGGACATAAAAGGGAAGGAGTAGAGACCTGTAGAACAGTAACTTAAGTTTGTGCATTGGAAGGCCAGTTCCTCATCATCCCGTAGAGAACTTCTACATAAAGCTAGGGGCTCAAGGACTTCCTTGCTCCAGGTCTTTGTGTTCTCAAGGAGTGGAGCAAAGGCCAAATATCTGCCCACTCAGCCCATGTGCAAGGTGCAGAGAGCTTTCACAATGATCCAAAGAAGGGACACTGGCAGGGGCCTTGGGCCATGGTGGACTGCTCAGAATGACGTAAAGCCCCACAGAATTGGGGAGGAGGATTTCCAGAAACACTGCAGAGGGGATGGAGCAGCCTAGTGGGGGAATGGACTCTGGCTGCCCTATACTTTCTGCACTTTTGAATTTTAGGGTTGCTTTAGAGTTCTCATTAAAAAGTCGAACTCATTCATAGTTGAGAGTAGAATAGTAGTTACCAGAGTCTGAGGAGAGTCGGAGGAAAGAAGGACAAGGAAACAGGCTAGTCAATGGGTACAATGCTGGTTAGATAAGAGGAATGAGCTCTGATGTTCCATTGCACAGTAGGGTGACTATAGTCAATACAATGTCTTGTGTATTTCAGAGTAACTAGAGAGAGCATTCTGAATGTTCTTACCACAAAGACATGATCTGCCAATTACTCTGACTTGATCATTTCACAATGGATACATGTAGGAAAACATCACATTGTATCCCCAAATATGTACAATTGTTATCTGCAAATTTAAAGTAAAATAAAACTTAAATTTTTTAAATAAAAAAGTGCCCCGACTTTAAACGCCTCTCACACCTCCTCTACGGTAACAGCCCCTAGGAGAATCTCAGCCTTGACTCTGCCTAGGAGGGGTGGTCTGTCAGGACTGAACTGTCTTGCCCCAACTGGGGGTGTCTCCGAACACAGTCATTCTCTCCTCCCAGTCCCTCTCTCTCTGCTAGCTGTTCCCTTGGTCCCTGAGGCCAGTGGAGAGGCTGGTGTTGGGCTGCTCCTCACGGGTTTTGATCAGAATCTCTGGGGCATTCTCCAGATAAAGGAGCCACAGTCCTAGGGGTGTCCTGCTGGGGCCGCTGAGATCATTTGGGAAATTAATGTCAGAGTAGATTTTTTAAAACCTCTCTCTTGAAAACAAACAAAAAAGAGATAAACAATAATAACAGTGATGGAAAAACCCCAAGTTTCCCTCTCTGTTCTCCTGTCTGGGCATATTTAGCGGGAAGCAATGTGGCAGAGTCAAAAAAAAAAAGTGCAAATGACTGGGCCCAGGAATGGACAAGTCCACTGCACACCCACATGTATGAGTGCCTGCTTGTTCTGGCTGTGTGATTTCCTCATTTGGGACTGTCCCTAATGCCTCCCGGGATGCAGAGAGCTACAAAGACTCCAGGGCAGACACAGACAATCTTTGGTTTTTTTTCTTTCTGAATAGCTGGATGTGCTGATCTGAACTTAAGAAAGGATGCCCTGCAAGGCAAAAGGAGAGATGTATTTGGGCACATGTCAGTGTATTTTAAATGAACTTGGGGTTCATTTAAATGAACTTGGGGTGTATTTTAAATGAACTTGGGGTGTGTGTGTGTTTTAGGGTGCCCATGGGACTGCAGGGCTCAGGAGAAGCACTGAATGGCAGGATCAGATGCTTTGAATATGAAAACAAAGCCGCTGCTCCTCCCAGAAAGCAAAAAGGTAATGACCCGGAGCTAGCCTAGGTCTTGGTCTTTGTGATTCACTTGGGCATATGGCAACTAATAGGGTGACTCATTTTTTCCTTGGCCAGAAAGATCACCTGGACACGCTAGGTCCTGCTGGGAAAGGGAACATGAACATGGAGGGAAATCCTTGGTGTGTATCCCCCAGCTCAGCCAGGCTGCCTCTGAGCCAGGCTGGTCTTGATGCCTAGGGAACAGGCCAGATGCCACCTTCAAAAGTAATGACAATTGCCATGCATTAAGTAGGGATGCTTTCTTCCAACACCCTGGCTCTGTGTGATGCCTTTGTGTGGCCTGCAGGTTGGGCCCTGAGGACAGAAGGTACAGAAAGCTGGAACAAGGGATGGGAGGGGTTTGGCAGGGTACGGCAGCCACTGAGGGCTGGGATTGGGAACTTGACATCTAGTGGAAGATATCACTGGGTGGGTCTCCTGGCTTTTTACTTCGTGGCCAGTGGTTTGTCCTCAGCTGGCTGTAGTGTGCTACAGAGGTCTCTCATGTCAAGGAGGCTTGCTCCCACAGCTTCTGCAAACTCTGCAGAAGAGGTCTCCTTGCAGTTGTGAAAGCTGGAGATGCAGAAGAGGATGGTCTCAGGCTGGGGGTTATAGCAGGCACCATACCCATTGGGGACCACAGGACCATAGCAGCAAAACATCTCCATGGTTGTGGGCACCTAGAGGAGAGCATAGGTCAGAAGCAGCTGGTTCTGAAATGCAGCCTGTCAACCAGGTAGAATGAGACACCTTCCAACACCTCTGGCTTCTCTGACTGTTCTCCAGCCCAGGGATTTCAGTGATTTCAACAGATCAATTGATTGCTTCAGCCTGGCTGGACACGGCCAGAGTCATAAAAACAAACTCATCTAACTGCATGGCTTTGGAAGGACGGACAGGGACCTCAAACCCACTCCCTGGCGGGCAGTCTGCTCTACTTGTGGAGCCAAGAGCTCCCAGGGTGACCTGGTGCTGGGGCTTGGTCTGAGTCTCTTCTTCACCTGGGGGCCATTTGAGGCACTGTAGCAATCAGGGTAATTTACTAAATGGCACCCTGGTGGCACCCAACAGTTAGATGGCTTCCCACAGGGAGTAATTTATGAACTGGAAGAAATCTGGCCCATCTTCTCTTGATTTCCCCCAGATCCTTAATTACTGTCAGCATTGCCTGGCTGGTCTGATTTTTCTCCCCTCAGCCTGGCCATGCACAATTACCCAGCACGGGGTGTTTCAAAGGTTGCCATCAACTAGAGTTTTAGTTATGCACCTAAGCTGAATTGAATTTAGAGGGCTAAGATTTTGTAAGATCACAAACAAGACAGTGTGTTTCTGAAGGCGTTCAAGCCATAAAGGCTACTTTCCAGTTGGAAAACAATCACCAAAAAACTCACACTCCCCAATTAATTTTTTTTAGCTAGTTCTAGGAGACAAATAGGAAGGATTCTTGGGCAGGTTCAGGGTCGGGGTTTGTTTTAAACCCACAGGTTTCTGATGCTGTGTTCTCAGACCTTCTGAAGTGACACTGGCCATTTTAATGGGGCAGAAAAAGCCATTAGTCTTGCTAATAGAGTCACTGCATTGTCAGATAAATTTGCCGTGCAATAGCCAGAGGCCATAAAGCCATTCCAGAGCACTTTTTTGACCATGGATGGTTTCCTAAGGAATTTATGCTGTTGTGTTCTGTCCACATTTATTCACATCTGCAAGCTCACAGCCATAATGACAAAATCAAATTACCGAGTGGGCTTTTATCCTCAAACACAGCTTTATCATGTCCAGACACTCATGGATGAGGTGGAGTTTTAGTAAGTTGACTTGTGGGGTATTCCTCCCTCAACTTGGGCCTCCTACTAATGGATTCTACCCTGTCTTTGTGACAGAGGTCCTCCAACACACAGGCCTGTCGCAGCACTGGCTAGGAGATGTTGGGTTGCCAGCTAATCTTCTGTCATTGGCCTGGTCCTTCATAATAATGCCCATGATCTATTTGGGACCTACATCCAGGCCTGTGGGATTTTAGAGCCTATGGTCCCCTCTGTGGATTACCACCTCTCAAGTGGCAGATTGAAAGGCAGTACTGCATAATGGTTAGAGCCCCAAGATGGGTTGTGTTCCCATCCTGTTCTCACCTTGGCTAAGGGGACAGAGCGTCTGTGGTCACTCCCATTTAGAAGATGAGGAACCAGTGCTCTGAACATTTAGATCATTCTTCTGAAGGTGACATAATTCGTAGGAAGCAGGGTCAGGTTGGGGAGGGAGGATGGGGAGAGGATTGTTAGTGGCACAGGGGTGCAGTTGCAAAGGAAGAATGACCTCTAATGTCCTGTAACACAGCAGGATAACTATAGTTGTCAGCAATTATTTGAGTATTTCAAAATAGTAGAGAGGATTTTCAATGTTCCAAACCCAACCCAACATCTGAGATGACAGATACGCCCGTTATGCTGATCTGACCATCACACACTGTATTGCAACATCACACTATACCCCATAAGTACATACAGCACTTTTCATGTGCTGGGTCCAGGGACTGCTAGGCTCCATATAAGACTGGCCGAGTCAGGACTTGCTAACTCCAGTCAGGGGATGGCAGTCACTAATTACTTTTTAGAAGGCTCACTGGTTACGAAGGAGCCTCTGGTCCAGGGCTGTGTGCAGGGGCTGTACCTGGCTGGTGGAGAGGACAAAACGGTTGCTCATCAGGTAAGTTTCATCTGTGAACATCTCGGGCAGCTCCTTACACAGGTCCCGAGCCAGCTCTCGCAGTGCTAACAGGTGGTTGTCGATGGCCATCCCTGTTATAGCCTGGGAATTGGGGACAGAGAGAAGGAGATGAACCATGAACTCTTGGTGCCTCCTCTTCCCCTCCTCTCTCCTCCACAATGGTAATGGTGACTCCAACAGTCATGACTGGCATTTACCCAGCACTTGCTACAGACAATGTAAGTGAGTAGCCACCCACTGTGGACTACTTTACTATACAACCTCTGTTCCTTAGGCTTTTACCTACTTCTTTATCCACAGGAGGAGTCTAGCACAGGTTGGGGGTCTATCTTAAGGATGCCTGAGTTAACAGTCAGTAAGTCCCAGCATCCACTAAACATCTGCATCCACACCGTGCTCTAATGGAAAGAGTGGCCCTGGATGGGCCATCCCAACCACAAAGCTGCTAGGGCCAGGGAAGGAGTTTGGGGAGAAGGCCATGTGCTGGGTCCAGGGACTGCTAGGCTCCACTTAAGCATGTGGAGGGGTAAGCCTGGCTGTGAGAGTGCAGACTTTCTCAATACAACCAATGCTTCATTGTCCAGCAGGAGATCAAGGGAAAGGGTTAGAGGGCATCAGGTTCCCTTGAGTCTCAGTCACTTTGTGGGCCCCAGATTGATACTCTTAAATTTAGATTCATAATCTAAGAATCATTTTGACTTAGGAACAGATATCTGAGCAGAGGCTCAGCTGATATTTTCAAGGGGAAAGAGCTACTTGACTGATGAAAGTTTTTTTTTTTCTTTTTATCACAAAGATAGTTAAACTCATGTCAAAGAATGGGGTGATAGAGCAGGAGCTCCAAAATCTCAGTGAGATGGAGCTCAGGGATGGTTGTGTGGCTAGAAGTGGGGCCAGAGCACTTGGTCTACATCTCTCCCACTTGAGGCTGGGTATGTAGCATACACAGTTTTTTGGTTTTGCTTTTGATTATGTGTTTATTTAGGACAATGTTGCAGGCTGATGGAGACTCAGGGCCATACCTCCCTACAGCAATAAACTTTAAGTTAACATCAAAGTGGTTGTAACTTGGGGTTTCAAAGTTATGCAAAATGGCCATTTAGCTGCTAGAGCCCCACCCAGGAGGAAAACTTTCCCAATGAACCTCGCTTGGGTTTACCAAGCACGTTTTGGGATTTGACAGCCGTTCCCTTTCAATGGAGACTGAATGCATAAACAAGGCAGAGGCCTTAGTCTCTCATTACAGTCTGAAAAGACAAGTTACAAAACCACAGCTTACTTTATTTTTAATTAATTTATTCCTGTATTGTGGTGCTGGGATAGAACCCAGGGCCTTACTCTTGCTAGCTAGTGCTCTACCACTGAACTACACCCAATCCTACAGCTTACTTTGGATGTGTCTCAGCAGGACAGACAGGAAGCACTATGTGCCCATCCGAACAGTAGATGGCTCTTTTCACTCTCTGGTTACCTCTATTTAATCTCTGGTTTGTGTAGGTCTGTAGAAACAAACTCTCTGTAGAGCAGCCAGCCCACCTGATTTCACCATTTCTGAACAAACTATAGCAAGAGAGAATGTGCAAAGAGTTGTTTAGACAGAGTAGTAATGAGCAAAAGGACTCCAGGTTCAGTCCTCCCTTCCTTCAGGGAAACTTTGAATTCCAACTCTATGCCTGATGCTACTGGGTGGTGCAGCAAGCATGGAGAACGGAGCAGCTACAGACTGAGCCCTGGTGGAGCTCGTGGTTAGTAAGGGTGGATGTTACCACTATGCAAATAATACCATAACCTGAGATAAAGTCTGGGAAGTAAAACATAAGGTAATAAAGTAGTGAGACAGGACTTGGACCACCTCACCCCTCCATTGGAATTTCCTCTCCCCACCACCACTACCAAATACATCTGCCAGTTGTCAGAGGGTCCTTGCTTCTTTCTTCTTTCTCCTCTCTCTTCCCTTCCCCAGCCAAATGGGCATCAGCTTTGCTGCCAGCCATCATCACCACCCCCCTCATATTTCTGAGACAGTTATCCTCATTAAGTTAAAATAGATAGCACAACAGAAGTCTGTAGCAATGCATTGGAGGATATTTTTCTAAAATTTTTCATAAGTTTGTTTATAGTTTAAAAATCCAAAGGCTTGCCTCACCTTACTGGCACTGATTCTCACTCTACAGTGGCAATTCCCTGCCACCCTTTCTCTATTTCTTTTGATATCTATTTACATTGTTCCAAATCCATGCTTAGAGTGCCATGGCTGCCTTTTCCTGTTTTACCTGTAATCTTCTTTTTATAGAAAAATGAAACTTTATTTTTTTATGCCTCTATTCCTCCAACACATTTCCATTCTTTCCATCTTCCCAATAAAGTTAGGTTTTTAACTCTTTGTTGTTTGATCAACATACAGTGTTTGCATAATATTATGTAACCATTCACAGTTGGGTCAAGCAGTACACTATGGCTAGATTTCCTTATTGACTTTTTTATTTTTGCCAGAAATGGTCATCTTTAAATATTGTATTTTTTTTTTACCTGTTTGGCTTTCTATGTTAATTGGTTCCTAAATTCTCAGCTAGAATTTCATCTTTCCACTTAAGTTCTTGCTCCTCTGTGATGACTGCTCACTAGGTCTGCTGAACAGCTGTCAGCTTGTGAGCTCCTTTTGCTATCATCCTAGGGAGTCTTTCTACCTCTGTCTTGCAGTTGAATCTTCTGATTTTTTGGAGCTTATGAGTTCATCTTTTATATTTTATTTTCTCACGCTATATCCTCCAGTAGAATTATGAGAAACAATGCTAAATAAGTAAAAATTGCAAGACCTCATCTGTCTAAAATTGTTTTTATGCTACCTTCAAACTCAATGAGAGTTTAGCTGGGTATGGAGTGTGGGTTGCAGATTGTTTTCTCTCAGAATCTGAAGGCATCGTCCCTTCTATCTTTCACCTTCCTATGACGCTATTAAGAGGTCAATAATATCTTCATTCTGATATTTGTATTTGGTTTATTTTCTCTGTGAGATTTTAAGACCTTTTCTTTATTTTTAGTATTGTGATATTCCTTGGTATTAATAAAAGGTATTTGGTGAATTCTCTCAATGTAGAAACTCATGTTCTTCAGTTCTAGGGAATTTTCTTGAATTATTTTGTTGGTGGTGTGTCCCCCTTTTTCTGAACAAGTACTATCTAGAATATTGTCCTTTGGGACAAAGCTTCCTCTCTCTCCTGGTCTTCATCTGTTTGCTTGGTATTGAGGGGAGATCTCTCACCTTATTTCTCAATCTTTCCACTGACTTTTTACTAACATATTCTCCAAGGAGTTTTCATTTCCCGAAAAATATTTTTAGAGTTTCATGTTCTTATTTATAGAATTCTCATTTGTAAAATTCAAATCTTGAAACTTACTGGCCAGTGTGACAGTGTTAAGATGCCTTTAAGGGGCCATGAAGGCTCCTTCCTCTTGAAGGCTTTTCTAAAAGAAACTTCAGCCCTCTTTCCTTTTTACTTCCTGCCATGTGAAAGCACAGTGTTCCTCCCCTCCACAGAATGAAGCAACAGACACCATCTTGGAAGCAGAGAGCAGCAACCTCACCTGCTGACCCTTTGATCTTGGACTTTTAGCCTCCAGAACTGTGAGAAACAAATCTCTGTTCTTTATAAATTATCCAGTCTCAGGTATTCTGTTATAGCAGCAGCATCTTCTTTCTCATTCTCTTTGCCTTATTGCCCTATTTATAGCTTAAAAAAATCCTAGACTTTTATGTTGGAAAGGTTCAGAGTGAGTGACAGTAAACATTTGTATCCAGCCTGCCATGTTGAATCAGAAGTTCATGACTTCCTTTCAACTTCTCACCCCTGCCCAACTGCAGTTCTCCTTGAATGTTCTATAACTTCCTCTTGGCAAGCACCACCCTCAGCAATCCTTCTTCTCCGCCCACACTGGAGTAAGCTTTATCACAGGAAATGCAACATCTCCTACTCCTCTTTCCTTTGCAAACTGCATACATTGAGCTAATTGTTTCTTCAGGTGTGTCTTACTCTCTTGAGATTATTTGCATTTACACATGCTGCTCCCTTCTTGGACCATCTTCCCTTTTTATTCTCAAGTCTCAAACTGAGCACTACTTCCTCTGGGAAATCTTGGCTTTCCCAAGCAGAGGAAAGAGCTACTCCTCCATGGTCTCTGTTACTTCCCAAGGGCTCTTTTCACATGGGATCAGACTTGACTTTGAAAGACCTCTCCCTCAACTGCATGCTGAATTCCCCAAGGACAGGGATAATGGATGTCAGTTTTTGTTTCCCAGCACCTAGCACCCTGCTGGATAAAGCAGAAGAACAAATAAACAAAAATCCTTGAATAGGAGATAGGGTACTTGCTATAGTTTGGATTTGAAATGTTCCCCCAAAAGTTCATGTGTTAAAGGTTTAGTACCCAGCTTGGCACAATTGAGAGGTTGGAAACATTAAGAGGTGGGACTTTTCAGGAGGTCTTCCAGTTATTTGAGGTGTGCCCTGAAGGAGATTGTAGGATCCTAGCTGCTTCTCTTCTTCTCCCTCTTTTGCTCCCCTGACATGAGGTCAATGTTTTTGCTCCACCATGGGATCCTTGTCACGATATATTGCCTCACTACAGGCCTAAAAACAATGGGGCCAACTCACCATGGATTGAAACTATTGAAAGTTTGAGCCAAAATAAACTTTTCTAATTCAAAATTGATTTTCTCCAGTATTTTGTTACAGTAATGGGAAACTGACTAATATAGTGCTTAATTGTCCCCAAATAGAACAAACACATAATTATACAGATGAACTAGGGACCTAGTTAAAGGAAAGTCTTTACTGACTAGTTCCAAAATCCAGAAATACATTGTACTTGCTTTTAAGTATATAGAATGAAATTTGGTCAATCCATTTTTATAAATTACATAATCCTTCAAAGACTATTTTAGCATGATTTGAAATTAATATATTGATCACTAGTTCAAGCAATGCTTATTCTCCATTGTTTATATGCAAATGATGGCATTGCAGTGCCTGAAAATAAATTATTTCCTTAAACTAGAGAAAAATTCCCCTTATAATTTTGATTGTACAATTAATGATTGCACTATGAATGTTCCACTCATAAATAAATAAATACACAGACGACAAGAGGCAAAATCAGCCCAGGTAGGATGAATACTGCCTCCCCTGCAATTGTGCAAGGGCATGCGTACCACTCCAGGCTGCAGCTGTATTCTCTCCTATTTGACTTCTCTCATATAAACTGTAAGGTATGACATAGTCTATATCCTGTTATTATCATTTTGGTTATTTCAAATACCACTCATTATACTCTTGTGAATTCAGTGAAAGAAGCAGGAATAGCGCATTACCTAAGTTCTAAAAATAAAAAAAAAAAAAGGAAGCTTTGAGAGGGAGGTGGCCTTGCTGAGTCATTCACACCCTTGAGGGAATTCTGTAAAACTGATTGAGGCTGGGCTGTTCACATAGGGTCTTGTGCTGTGGCCTCAACTCTTGCAGCTCTGGCCATACTCGTTTGCTTGCCCAAGGCATCATCACTCACCATGACTGTGTACTCGGTCTGGGCTAGGATGGCTGCCTTCAGGAGCTGCACCTTCTTGGAATCCTGTTGACAGAACAGAGGGTTGGTGTACAGGACATTAAGAGGCTGTTCAATGGCAAACACCCAAAGAAGCTGGTGACCTGGAGCCCAGAGGACAGGCAGTCCACAGTGGCTTCACAGGTCTCCTTGTTTTTCCTCAGGATGGAGTGTGACTTACTGGTATGACAGACTTATGGTCAATCATGGCTCTCACAAAAGCCAGGGCCTCTGGAGTGGCTGATCTGATGTTGTCCACCCGCCCCTCCTCGAATCGGCGAATGGAAGCACTCTCATAGGTGGGAACTAGTCTCCGGTGGAGCCTGCGTAAGATAAAGGTTGAATGGTGGATGTTAATTTATTCTCAGGGGCTCAAAAATGCTGGAAGAAAAATAGCCTCAGCAGGCTTTATTTTTACAGTTCTGACTTGACTTGGTGTAGTATTTCATTTTAATGTTAATGGAATTCTGAAGGAGAACTCCCAGAGATGAATGTTGGGGGGTCTCTAATATGAAGAGCCATGTACACAGTTTTATATATTGGGGACACTGTGTTGATATAAAGAAGTGACTTTGTTTCCAATCTGTTGAAAAACCTGGAGTTTTCTGAGACTCAATGAGTGTTTGATTAATAGCCAAGAATGGGATAATTGCGCAATTAATCATTCACACCCTTGAGGGAATTCTGTAAACTGATTGAGCCATGACCTCTGTCTGAAGCAGGGAGGGATCTCAGAGGTGGTGAGTGTGAACTGCTGCCCTGGCCCACTGTTCTAGGGCACCCACGCCTGTGGGCAATGTGGCTGTGCCTCTCCTGTCTTCATGGAGTTGGTTGGAAGAGGCCATTCATGTGACCCAGATCAGAGGTGTGTTCGGCATCTCTATGATGGTTCTGGCATCCTGGCCACCTTGGCAGAGCTCATGCTCCTTATGCATGAGAATCAGGTGAGCATCCCTAGACTTGTGCACCTGTCTGGCCCACTCCCTTTTTCATCAGTCAGTAAAGTTCCTGGTATTGAGAGTGAGGGAGGAAAAAAGACACAGAGCTCAGCAGGGACAGTGACAGCCCAGAGTCACACAGAAAGTCTTGGCCCATGAACTAGGCAAGGTGGTCCACACAGGCCTCTGAAGGGTAGTATCTGGGCTGGAGGTGAGTGGAATGGGAGGGGAGAGGCACAGCCAGGGCAATGACTTGGAGGGAGGGCAGAGAGTTTGTGGGAGGGTCTCAAGCATGGTAGGAGGCATTGATAGTAGGCAATACAGTCTGATTTGCATATTTCAACGTTCATGAAGACAGTGTTATAGGAGCAACCGTGGGAGCAGAGAGCCTTGGGGCACATGCTGCAGTTGGCTGAGCTAGGGATGACAGTGACTTGGGAGGTACTGATGGTGGTGGGGGGAGGGCAGAATTGTAAGACATTTGGAGGACAACTGGCATGGAGGTATGGGAGTGAGAGATAGGGAAGGGATGAAATCAAGGATAGATCCAAATCTCGGTCTGGACCAACTAGAGGCCCACTGGTTCTAGGTCCTGACCAAGGTTAGGAAGACTGGGGAGGAGCAGTTGCAGCTACATGGGCTCAGCTGGGCTGGATAAAACCGGGATGAATAGTAACCTTCATACCTCACGGTCCTCCTTGCCCACCTGGCTCTCCTTAGCTCTGTGCTCCAGAGCCCAGGATCATGGCTCTGGTTCCTTGACTGTGACACTCTTCCTGAGGTTTGAGCTGTACTCAAAATCCAATTCCTGTAATATCTTGTCTGTACAGTTTGCTTTGGTCATCTACTGGACTGCTGGACCCCCAAAAAGCCAGGCATATCTCCAGGATGCTTCTAGAATCTAAAACATCTTGGCAGGAAGCCCACAGGGGCACAGGTTCATCCTGCTTTTGCTCACCTGTAGAAGGCCAGCTGGAGGGTCACCTGGATGAAGGCATCAGGGCTGCATTTCTGCTTCTTAATGAATGTTTTCCCATAGTGGTCAAACTTATAAACAGTGAAGTCCAGATTCTTTACAATTCTATAGAAGAAAAAGAATAAATGCTTTAATTATGTGAGAAATAGAACATACATGTGGGCTGGAGCCATGGCTCAAGTGGTAGAGCACCTGTCTAGAAAGTGCAAAGCCCTGAGATCAAACCCCACTACCACCAAAAAAAAAAAAACAAAAAAAAACCAACACACGCTGCCGAGGCCACCCAAGTTTCTAAGCCTGGTGCATGTCCTAGTGCTTGGGAAGGTAATGACTCACTCTCTGTCCTCTGGGAATACCTTGGGGTGTTAGAGATGTGGCAGAAGGTATGCAGGACCTCTGAGCAGAAGGCGAACTCTGGCAGGGGGTGGCCCTGCTCTAAGGGGAAGGGGGAAGTGGGTCTGGCTGCAGCAGGGAGGTGGGAGAGGCAATAGGAATGAGAGACATTTGCATGGGCAGGGCAAGCACTGCCCACAGAGTCCTAGCTGCCTGCCCTCTGCCCACAAAGTAGGCCTGAAAGAAGCCATTCATTGTGCCCCGTGAAGTATGTCAGGTGTCCCTGTGGATTCTTGGCCAGCCTAGCATTTCTCAGCTGACTGCCCAAGCACCTCTTCACCAAGACTCATCAGTGCTATGCTATGGGCACAAGGGCATGGGGCCTGGCTTCTTGTCATGGTTACCCACCAAGGGCTGCTCATTTGGGACTTTATCAGTAACTGAAAACCCATCTGATTCAGAAGGTTCTGCTGGGCCTCCATGACGTGCCTGAGTCTTTGTCACTGTCAGAGTAACAGGAAACTTCTCTGTGTTTACAGGAGACTCTTGAGTCCTGGCCACCTCCATATTGACTGGTCTACTCTTTCATTATAGGTCTGGGGTCTAGGCTGCCCATGGGAGCAACACCAACAAGGTCCCTCTGTCTGTTCCTAGCCACGTGTGAGCACAGAGCTCTGGAAGGGGGAGAGAGGATCTGCTCTCACTCACATCTTCTCCTGGGATCTCCAGGTGCCCTGTCTGCCCCTCCTTGAAATATTCCCCCTCCCTGACATGAGCTCAGCACTCAGGGGGCCATGCCAGGTGCCAGGACCCACAGAGACTCAGAAGAGCCTAGGACACTTGGGAACTTGCCCATCAGTCCTGCCTTTTGTCAGACTGTTGTAACAGCAACTTGGAAACCTCCCAGGCTCTGCCCACTCAGACCCCACCCCCTGCCATGGGCTGCTCACCCCACAGCTCCTCCTCCTGCACAATAAGGTCCCAACTTCCCTTTTGTGCCCTACTCTGGCCATCCTCTCACTTTATGAATCTGTACAGGCTTGAACAAGCTGCTTTTCTGCCTCTTCCTTATCTACCTATACTCCAAACTGCTATTCATCCTTCAAGGCACACCTCTGCACATCCCTACCTCACTGCCTCGGCAGAGTTCAGCCCCCATTTCTGGATTCAGGTCTGTATGCCTGGCTTGAGTTTGGGCACTTCTTTTACCTGGGCTCTGCTTCCTCCACTAAAGTACTCTATGGAACATCAATATCTGTGTTCCCAAAGACTTACCACAGGTCTGGCACACACTAGAGTTCTGCACATTTGATCCATGCTTGAGTAAATGAATGAATGCATTCATACTCACTTACCGAATGAGGGAATGAACAATGACCGTCCTGCTCTGGTTGCCAGCCCGTGGCTCCCACCACACATTGCTGCTGACCCTGACCCTGCCCCTGGCCCACCAGAAGGGCTTCCAGCCCTCCCAGGCCTCCCTGCCTGGGTCCATTAGGGCCTGAACCAGCCCCTCTCCTGGAGAAAAAGCCCTGCTTATCAAGTTGCAGTGTAAACTCAGGCAAACTGAAATAGCTTGGATTCAAATGACCTATTCAAACCAGTTGTTTATTACTCCCCCAGAGCAGGGAATGGTTTCCTGGCCTTGACTGTGCTCAATCAGGTGAAACCTGCAGAAAGAAAATAGCTCCATTTTGCATTTTATGGAAATGACAGGAACTTAAGCAAGGTTACTCCTGAGAGCTACAACTCGCCCTTGGTTTGACTGTATTTCCATGAGGGGTGGGGTGGGCAGAGCTCTGAGAAGAGCAGAGCTGCCAGGGGCTTTGGAAACTTCCAGGGTGCCTCAGCAGCTGGGGGTAAGAGATGCAGGTGGCCCTTGGAAGATCACCCAGAGGACTGATCACCTCACCGTTGAAGTTTTTCTGCTGAGGAGGCCAGGTGGCCTTGAATTTCCGGAGAGCATTTCCACCTCAGCCTCCTGGGGGCAGGAAGCTCACTGACAGAGTCAGCTCGCACCAGCTTCTTGCCGCTCTTCATCCTGTAGGCACAGAGAGGCGACCTCCTGAGGGCCTGGACCTGAGGGCTGTAGGCAGCATTGCTTCTCTGCCCTCTGCAATCATCTAGCTGCTGGTATGTGCAGCCCAGAGCTTCAGGGGGTCTGAGCTGCACCCCCAAATCACTGTGTAGATGAATAAACCGAGGCCACCCACATCAGTAAGTAGCAGAGCCAGATTTCATTCAGTTCCACCTGACTCCCAAGTACATTATTTGTTTTCATTTGTCACAGTGTTTCACCGATAACACTTATATAAGACTGGGAGAGAAGGCAGCTGCAAGCTGTGCTGTTCTGTCTACAAGAAGTGGTTTGGTGTAAGTGACCCTGCAGAGTTTTGTGAACGACATTGAGATCCTATACGCAGGGAGAAGATGCTAGAAGAGAATGAACAAAAATGTGAAGGAAGAAAGAATGTAGTGTGTTCAAAGGACAGAGAACCCCTTAGTCCCGTCAGCTCAGAGGCTGTGGAGGACCCAGCCTGGCACATGAGTGGCTCAGAGACCTGCCTCTGTGCTAGGCCGTCAGCCACCCAGCCCTGACCCAGAGCCAATAATGAATATTGATCTGGGTTTCCCCAATCAAAGCAGATGTTCCTGAGAATTCCTTGCCATGCCTTTCTTTTCCTGATGGTTCTAAACCTCTTTCCCAGTTTGTGCCTTCCATCTGTGACCTGTGAAGCTGCATTCAAGCTACTCTCCAAATTCTTCTTCTACTAAGCCATTTTCCAGACTAACCGCCCCCCCCACCGGTGGCCACCCCAATTTTTCCTTGTTTGGCATGGCAGCCCTGGGTGGTCTTCCTCTGCCCTGCGCCAGACTCACATGTGCCTGAGCAGGTGCTCTGTGCACTGCACCAGGACGATGCCATCAAATGGGGAGTGCTCACACACCACGCCACACGTGCCATCGCGGCCCACCACGAACTGCAACGGGAAGAGGAAGGGGAGCTGATCCTGGAGTCAGCGTTCCAAACCAGCCCCTGGGCCCCAGGTTGCCACCCCCCCACACCTCTCAGGGCATCTCTCCCCCAAGGCACATTATTTTCTGAAAAGAAGGCTGCGGGTGACTTCAGTGGTCTGATAATCTGAGTCTCAAGGCACTACTAACTGGACAACCTCCTCCAGGTTCCATGGCTGAAGCAAGCCAGGCATTCTAAGTGAGCTCACACAAGCCTGGGCATGTTGTTCTTGGGGACAGGCAGGCTCCTTCCACTCCTCTCAGCCCCATTTCCTCTAACCATGTGTCACAGACACTATCCTGCAGTGCTGTGACCCAAATGGTTCCTGTTTGTTTTGGCCACCGTTGATTTTATTTCCAGGATCTAGAGTAGTGTCCACCCCCGAAGCAGATGCTGGGTAATTGTGTCAGATGAGTGAATTCAAGATACTGATCTGATTTGGATGGCACGCAGGTTCCTAGGGAAAAATAAAAGCCCGTTGGCAGGAAAGGGTACGGAAGATGATCCATTGACTGCTGCTGGATCCCAGCTCTGCTGTGCTACCACACAGCTGGGAGAGCTTCCACAAGACCTTTTGACTCTGCAGTTTGCTGTCATTTAAAAAGGGCACAGTGAGGCCCAGCTCACAGGATAGAGATGAGGAGTGGGGAGAATGTACGTGAAGGATCAACAGACACATAAAGATTACTTATGACTTTTTAAAAATGACTTTACAAAGACTATATTTAGCTGAATTGGAAAAGGAATAGATTCTGGGCACAAAAGTACTGGAAGAAAAGAATGAGAAGGACAAGGTTTAGAACCCACATAAAGAGGGGATGCCTGGAGCTTATCACACACAGAGATGCTGGTCTCCCATCCATCAGTGAACAAACAAATGAGCTAACAAATGATCGAGCTCTCCAGGTCTTTACTAAAACCTGGTCCAGGGGGACTGCAGTCTCTCTTACTGGCGGCTAGATGCTGGGATCTTATTGTCATTCAGCAAACCAGCAAGTAAATAAATGAACTACCCACAGAGCTTCTGTGCTGGTCCTTCTTTCTCCTCCCCAGCATCCCCAGTCTTTCTGTGCTGAGACCTGTCATGGAGCCTCTTTGAAATTCTTGGCACCTAATTTTCTGTCATGCTTATGAAAGGAGCCTGGAGACTAGCACATGAGACACACCCAGAGCAGGCAGGAAGGGGAGGCTATGCCCTCTCCCAATGTTAGTGCCTTTCTATCCCTGTCAGTAATAGGAAGAGGGAAAACAGTATCTTTTAAATCTTCTCCAAAGACTTCCTATGTTCTGCATCCTGTGCACCCATTATATCATGTCATTCCCACAGCTGCACTGTGAAAGATTGCCAGCCATTAGCACCCTGAGGAGGCTAAACAGCCAGCACGGCAGTGAGAGAGCTCACTGGGAGTAACAGAATCGATACACAAGCCATTAAAAAGGATCACCTGCCAAAGGCAGGGACAGAGAGAGAGGAAATGAGATGGTACCTTGAAACGCTCACCAAGGTGCGCTAAGGCAAGCCAAAATAGAGAGATGCTTTGCCCGCCCTTTTATAAGGCTGTTGTGAGAGTGTGGAAGCTTTAAAAATACACAAGATCAGATTGGGGACTGACATGTTGGTGGAAGAAAGGCTGGAGGACCAGGAATGAATGGCAAGACCCCATCTGTGTGAGTTTTTTTCTGTAGGCCAACATAGTGGTCATGATGTTTCTAGATTAATATGTGAATGGAAAAATTTGAATTATTTAATTTCCTTTTAAGACTTTACTTTTGCAGCAATTCTGGGCTGCCCTGCTTCTCAGGAATTAAGGACAGTGTATTGAAACGGCCAGGCCAGATGGTGAACATTCAGAAAAAGTGACCTAGCAGGCAACACACCAGTTCCTGCTAAATGTGCTGGGGGCTGGCTGGGAAGAACTGCAGCTCTCTCTGACCCTGCCAAGCCCCCACCTTATGATGTGTGACATGAGATGGCCCAGAGGTTCCTGCACAGGCTGCAGCTCAGATACTTGTTTCTGAGAAGAGCCCTAGCCAGTCCAGAGGTGGCACCAATAGCATGTCTTGAGAAATTCAAATGGCCAAAAAACACATGAAAAAATGCTCACCATCTCTATCCATAAAGGGAATGCAAATCAAAACCACACTAAGATTCCACCTCACCCCTGTTAGAATAGCCATCATAAAAAACACCACCAACAACAGGTGTTGGCGAGGATGTGGGGAAAAAGGAACCCTCTTACACTGCTGGTGGGAATGCAAGCTAGTACAACCACTCTGGAAAAAAATTTGGAGGCTTCTTAAAAATCTAAACATAGACTTGCCATATGACCCAGCAATCCCACTCTTGGGGATATACCCAAAAGAATGCGACACAGGTTACTCCAGAGGCACCTGCACACCCATGTTTATTGCAGCACTATTCACAATAGCCAAGTTATGGAAACAGCCAAGATGTCCCACTACTGACAAATGGATCAAGAAAATGTGGTACTTGTACACAGTGGAATTTTGCTAAGCCATGAAGAAGAATGAAATCTTATTATTTGCAGGTAAATGGATGGAACTGGAGAACATCATTCTGAGCAAGGTCAGCCAGGCTCAGAAGACCAAAAATCATATGTTTTCCCTCATATGCAGAATTTAGATCTAGGGCAAATGCAGCAATGTGGTTGGACTTGGATCACATGACAAGGGGAGAGCACATACGGGAGATATAGGAATAGGTAGAGAACCCAAAACATGAAAGCGTTTGATGTCCACTCCAGAGGAACTAATACAGAAACCTTAAAGCGACAGAGGTCAACATGAGAAGGGGATCAGGAACCAGTGTAAAGGTCAGGTAGAGACGAATCAACATGGGTTGTAATGCATGTGTACATGAAAGCAATGCTTGGAATCTCTCAATATAGCTATCCTTAACTCAACTAGCAAAAACGCTTTGTCTTCCTTATTATGCTTATGTCTTTTCTTCAACAAAATTGGAGATAAGGGCAGAACAGGTTCTGCCTGGAAGCGAGGGGGGGAGGAGAGGAGAGGGTGGGGGAGAGGGGAGCAGGGGGGAGAAATGACCCAAACAATGTATGCACATGTGAATAAATGAATAATAAAAAAAATAGCATGTCTTGGGTGTCTTCAGCCACTCCAGCCCCATCTGATCCAGCAGCCAAGGTGGCACAGGACAGTAGATGCACTGGTGGCCAGCTCTGTGTATGACTGTGCTTTTGCAGGGCAGATCACTGGGGAGGGGAGGGCGGGACATGACGCTTACCTGCAGGGACTTATCATACCAGCGGTTTGCCCCATTCTTGCTGCAGCCTCCACCATGGAGAAGCTGCAATGCCCTGCTGGTGTCGCTGAGATCCCCGCCGCCAGGGGCATCCAGGCACACCAGACAGATGCAGCGCTCGATCATGTCCAGGGAGTCCCGGTTGGTGGAGTCTGTGAGACAACCAAGCACAACCTCAGCACCTGTTCTGCCCAGGCCTGTGGCCTCACAGAGCCCCACACAGCGCCATCAGCTAGACTGTCCTGAACCTCTGTCCTACCCCAGTGGTCTCCGCAAGAGTTCTGCCCTCCGGTGGCAGGCAGTTCTGCCCCGAGTGTGTGGGCCATTGATTCTGCCTGTCAGGGTGAGGAGGATGCTCAGAACTTCAGGCCAGCATCCTGCAGGGGAGACCCCAACTCCTTCATCAGCTGGCACCTTCTCCCTGGCACCCCTGAGCCACACCTGTGCATAGGCATGCTTGTTTGTCCTCAACTATGATTTTCGAACATATACATTCATCATTAAGTTTTAAACTTGGCCAGTTTCACATGAAAATCCGAAGGAAAAGTGTTGCCTGCCTCTCTGTGCCCAGTTATTGGTTCAGAGTCAGAACTGCAAACAAAAAGGCCTGGTTGCTCAACTCTGAGCTGATGAGCTGGTTGGGATTGCTCCAGGCATGTGGGACTCACCTGGACAAGGAGACTGAAAGTCACTAGGTGTGCAGTGCAGGTGTCACCTGGGAGCCCCAGGCCCAACCCTCAGATTGCTTCTTCTGCTAAGTCTTTAAGGATTCCCAGGCTCCTCGACCTTCTCCTACAGAAAGGGGGCTTCCAAAGCCACACAGCCCCCAAAGGGTGTCCCCCCAGAGGCACTGGATGGAGGAGTCAGGCAAAGGTTTGTGATCACCCCATAGGGGACAATGGACTTAGGGGTTCTTCCAGCTTGTGGAGCCAAGCTGGCTGGCTGGGCTGCCTGCTACTTCTCCCACCAAGCACAAGGAAGTTCCCAAAGCCAGCCAGGCAGGACTGATCATGGCTGCCCTGTGTTTCCCTTCCTCTAAATATGAGCCTTTACTGTGGTGACCCCACTGGGCATGGGGGCAGAAAGCCTATCTTTTTATTTAAAGTTCACCTAACCCAAATTTAAAAGTCCACCAAAATCAAAGTTTAACATTTTGGCTTAAAATTTCAAGGAGCTGCACCAAGACCTCAAGGGGAGGGCCACACATCACCCAGAGATTTTGCATTTGGGGCTGGATACAGAGACAGGAAGAGGGGCTAAGTCACCCCCAGCCCTGAGAATACTAGCTGCAGAACACAGCACCCCTTCTCCCTTTATTTATAGGACCCTGGTTTTTTGATTGGCACATGGAATTCCTATTAAAACTACATTTCCCAGGCTCCTTTGCAGATGGAGTTATGAAGTATCTCAAGATAGAGAAACACTGTATGATAACATCCAAGAGAACTCATATATATAATCTAGCATGTGCTCTTTGCCCTTCTTCTCACCATCCTCCAATTCTGCTGTCTGGAGACATACATGCATGGGTATGTATGATGGCTGGAGCTCTCACTTCTACTTTGCCTGATTCCTTCTCTCAGGTCTCCTTAATACCTCCTGGGTACATGGCCACCTATGCTTGTCCCTGCTCTGCTTAGTTGATTTCTCTAGATTTATGAGAGTTGTCCACAGATAGCCTTGAGAGGAGTCTCCCATCTCCACTCATCCTTTCTTGGAAATCCCTGGGGAAGTAGATAACCCACAGCACACCTCCTATTCTGGAAAGGCAGTGCATGCTTGGACCATCCCCTGAACCATTCACCTTTCCTGCTTAGGATAAGCTCTAGGAAGACTCATATTGTCAGGAGGCCTTTAGATCCTATGATGGCCTGGCTGTCTCTGGCCTTCCACATTTCCTGCCTCAATCTGATCAGAATCCAGGCTTTGGGCCATGAGCTGAGGGTCTAATGGTAAATGAGAGCCAGTTGGAGCCTTGGGAAATGTGCTGTGCCTTAAGTTTCCTAACATGACCATGTCACCCTACTCAACCTGCAATAGCTCTTACTGCCCACCAAGGGGATCCAAATTTCTAAACATGGCACTCTGGGAAACATGGTTTACCCTGTCCCTGCTCTGCTTGACCTCCTCCACAACCTCCAGCCTACCTCCAGCCATTCTCTGGATGCCTGTGCACAGTCTATCTCCTCATTATCCCTGGCTGTTCCTGGGTCTGGGGCCCATCTCCTACTCTGCCTATCAGAGCTGTGCTGGTAATATTCTCCCAGAGCTATCTACACTTGTAACAGTGCCAACCTTGCCCTTCTGGACTCCTGGTGCCTACAGCATACAGGCTCTACAACCTGCTCAGTGCAGATGTGGAAGCTTGCCAAACTGGTCTCACCCAGTACCTGGACCCAGGGCTATACCACCCCTCTGTGTGCCCACTACCTCCTGCTTACAGGGTGTGATCCTGCCATCACCCCCAGGCTCCCATGCTTTCAGCAGTTGTTGCTGTTCAACTCACATTCAGCCCCTGGAGCCCTGGCCTGGTCCCATTCCCATGTCTTGGTTCACTGAGGGTGAGGCCACAAGGTGGACACAGGAAAGGTGGTAACAGACTTCAGGGTGCTTTCCTCAGCCCAGTCCTGGGTGGGTCTGGGATCTGTGCACCCAGCTCAAAGAGGGACTTGGAGGAGCCCAGGTGGCTAACAGGAAGATCTGCAGCCTCTTTGAGGTCAGGAACCACTATGTCCACACATCAAACCTCATGGAATGGTGGGGAGTACAGATGGAGGGGAGGCTGGAAGCAGGGTAGGGATTCCTTCTCTCTGCAAGGGCTTCCACCCTACCCCTCTGTCCTCTGGTAGCATCCCTGAAGATGGCCATAGTGTCCAGCCCCACACTGTGTGCTGTGCTGTGAGCCCCTTTGGGTTCCCAGGCTGGCCAGTGCCCTTCAGAAATGGAGAGGCCTTGGCCAGACCTGGGTCAGATTCAGATAAGCAGAGAAGAAGGAGAGGCATGTAAGAGGGAGGAGATAACAGGTGCAGGACAGGTGGGACAGATGTGGGGGACAGATGTGGAGGACTGAGAACAGCCCAGGCTGTAGTTGGAGCTTATGGGGTAGCAGCTTGGCCTCCAGCTTGTGGGTAAAGCCTTCAGTATTCACATGAGCTGAATAACACAGTGATGTGAGGGTATTAACCAACCTTTGCTGAGCACCTACTGAATGCCAGGCATGTTCTAAGCATACATATCAATGACTATGAGACAGGCATCGCTGTGTGCCTCATTTATAGATAAGAAGCAGAGAAACCTTAAGCCATTTCAAGACCTCATTTGCAAAAATTATTCAGTAACTGGAGGGAGCTGGTTTTGGTCCAAGGCATCCAATACCCATGCTCAGGTTGGGAGCAGATCATCAAGGGCTGTGAGTGGCAGGCTCTGAGAAGTGGACTCCAGCAACAGGGAGTCACTGCAGGACCTTGGGCCAAAGGTGACATGGTCAGAATAAAGTCAAGGATACCCATCAGCATGGGGAAAGCATGGGCCTGGAGGCCAGAAGGCCAGTCAAGGGCCACAGACAGCTTGAATGATACACATCTTGGCTCTATTGGCTGTGCCTTAGAGAGCTCAATGCCTTCTCCAGGGCTTCTTATAAACAGCCCCAAGAATTGTGTGGGTAGGCAGGCTGCAGCCCTAAGAAGCCCCCTGAATGTCTGCCTGCTGGAGGCTGGAGCAAGCTTGGGTGGGAGTAGAGTCTTGGCGCATTCCTTCCCAGCTGGGCAACAAAAGGCTGGCAATAAGAAAGGACAGCTTTCCCAACATCAGTGTCTCTTCCAGGCTGGGAGAAAGATCTTACAGGAGGGGCTGAGGCCTTGCCATCATGTGTGAACTGTGTAGGGCTCTGCAGCTCAGCGCCACCCGACAGGAACCAAGTTCGGGCTCATTAGACAGAGTGAAATGGGAGCAGGACAGCAGAGCTAGAAGCCAGGTGGCCTTGCAAATGAAGTCCCTGCACACAAGTGCTATTTGGTCAAATGCTGACAAGTTTATTGTGTAAGGCAAAAAATGAACTACACCCAAACTCATCCACCATGACTCTAGCCCAAATGTAATGGAAATGCAGGGCGGTGGACTGGAGGCTTGTGGCGGGAGCTGTTTGTCTTGTGGCATCCTCGTAGAACACACCAGGGTGCGCTTAATGTGGTAAATCAATCTTCCTCATGGAGTCCCTGCTTAATAGTGAGAAGTAGGAGTTGAGTAATAAGGCTCTGACACAAGCCCACACTCAAGGGCTGATTGCTTCAGTGGTGCAGAAACTCCAGAGTCCTGGAGGCCTTGGGGAGCCCTGTGGCTACAGTTGGACATTGGAAGCTTACAGACTGACTCAGGTGAGCAAAAATACAATGCACACCTACTACCTCTGCCTTTGGAGGGCTGCAGAATCTTGGGTGCTGCTCCCTTACAGGCATACCTGTGCAAGCACACATACATGTATGGCTTTCTCTGGTACTCTGCCTTCTCTGATCTGCTACCAGAGAACTGGCATAGTCAGATTGTACCAAGCTGCCTGCTCCCCCTCACACAGTCCAGGGAGACTGGACTCCTTCTCAGAGGCCCAGAGTTTGTAATATTTTGACATTTCCACTTGAGCCAATTTCTTCCCCAGCTCTTATATCTCTTTTTCAGGGGTAAATCTGCCACAACACACCTCATATTCTTTCCTAATCTATGGTCTGGTTGGGTACTTTCTATGTTCCAGTTCTTGGAAACTATGAGATTCCAACTAAAGTATTTCTTGCCCAGTGAAACCTGGCTGTTGCATATTAGAACTTCTTTGAGTTGAGTTATAAAAACCTCATTGGAAAAGCTTATGAGGGAGCATCTTGAGCTTCTAGGAAGATGGAGCAGGCTCTTCTCTATTCCTTCCATTGAAATCCCTGGCCATTACATTTAAAACAAGGAGGGAGGAAAGAAGACCAGCCAGCAACCTCAAAACCTAAAAAACCAACATGGTGGCAGGTCCTCTAAGTGTGATGGACCTATCTTTGCAGGAATGTTGTCATCAGCAAATTCATATACTGGAGCCCTCACCTCCATGTGACTTATTTTGAGAAAGAACTTTTAAAGTGTCAATTAAGATTAAATGAAGTCATAAGGGTGGGGCTCT